AATCCTACTTCCATAGTGATACTGCCTCAGAAACCCAAGGAGGGGTCGCTATGAGTCGGGGCCGACTCGACGGCACATAACAACAACAACAACAACATAGGATAACTGGAATTCTGTGCGTGCTACACACATTGTACTCACAAGAGTCTTACATACAAATCTACTCCATTTTAATAAATACCTTTCAAGATGCACCAATGGGAAATAATGCTAAAGCTGGGTATTAGCATTTCTAATACAAATGAATGAATAAAACCAAAACCAAATCAAACTCAACTGCCGTTGAGTTGGTTCCGACTCATTAGACTATATACATATACATGTCCTGTAGGCTCGGACGTACTTAAATTTTTTCAAATTTAAAAGCCATTTTTGAGACATTTATAAACCTGAACAAGCACTGTCATCTGTCCTGTTGTATTTTTGTGTGGTGCGATTCAAACCAGATCGCCTACCTTGGAGAGAAGGGAGAGATGAGCTGGGTCTCTCTGGCCCATGTAATTACGGGTGGAGGTAAGCTCTTCACTTCACATGGGAGTGTCACCTCTTCCCCGGCAATGACTGAGATCTCAACAGGCTTATCCTGTGACAGCCCTCGCTGGTCTCCAAACACTCTGGGCCTTACTAAAATAAATACATTTTTTGGAGAAAGGAAATAGTATATTAAAAAAAAAAAAAAAAAAAAAAAGCACAGCTTAACTTCCATTTGCAGACTACTAATGTTCTTAATAATTTACAAAAGGATGCTGTTTATTCCAGAGTTTCAGGACATCTTTAAAGCTTTGTAAAACAGGAAAAAACTAGATTTTCTTTCAGCTCTCCCCCTCAGAACACAATGAAGAGCACAGCTGAACTATCTTTTTAAAGGATGCCATCTGCAAGAGTAACCCCTCAAAGCCGAATGCTAACCAAAACATAACTGAGGTCTGGCTTTGCTAGGAGTTTTAAGAAATTGGTGTTACCAAAGCTAGCTGGGTGCAGCAAGCACACTCCTTGAGAAAAACACCATAAAAATTTTCCAAAAGGCTATACAGTTACACTCCCTTAAAGTCAGAGTCTAAGTAGAAGAGATTTTGGTTGGCAGCAAGGATACATTCTTGTAAAATAAAAACAAATATAAGCCTGGGGGAATTGTTCACTTTAGGGGTACAGTCCTCTGGTAACAGTACTAGGTGAGGACTGTGAGTTTTGGCAAAGATTGACAGTGTCAATGAAAAACATTGCTCCAGGGGCTCTCACCATAGACAGTCAGTTGCACTTTCCTCTTGGCATAGCCTGCCGCATTGGTGGCGGTGCAGACGTACTCCCCACTTTCCTCACCTCCTGGTGACACCACATACAGACTTCCATCAGCCCCGGCAGAAAACTTAGCACTGCCGGTGGAAATCAGCTCTCCTTTCTGCAAAACATTAAGGCAAAGTGTGTCTTAAGATATTAAAGGATTGACTTCATGTCTGGAAAAGAAAGAGAAGGGGGGGGGGTTCCCCAAAGGTAGCAAATACTAGATTTTTTTAAAAAATGTTAGTATGAATAAAGTTATTTATAAGAAAAATTAGATTTAAAAAAAAAAAGTGATATATTTCCTATCAAACTGTCTCCCTTCATTCCCTGGTACCTGTGAATGCAGATTATATGGTAACGAATTGTTGTTGTTCTTAGGTGCTGTGGAGTCATAGTTACCCTATGTGCAACAAAATGAAACATTGCCTGGTCCTGTGCCAACCTCATAAACCACTGCTATGTTTGAGCCTATTGATGTAGGCTGTGTCAATCCATCTTGCTGAGGGTTGTTCTCTTTCCCTCTGATCTTCTACTTCACCAAGCATGATATCCCTTCTCCAGGGACTGATCCCTCCTGGTAACATGTCCAAAGAATGTGAGACGAAGTCTTACCATCCTTGCTTCCAAGAGGATTTTGGCTGTACTTTTTCCGAGACAGATTTGTTTGTTCTCCTGATAGTCCATAGTATATTCAATATTTTTTGCTAATACCATAATTCAAAGGCATCTCTTCTTCCATCTGCTTCCTTTATTGTCCAGCTTTTGCATGCATAAGAAGTGTTGAAAATATACCAAGGCTTGGGTCAGACACACCTTAGCCCTTAAAGTGACATCTTTGCTTTTTAACACTTTAAAGAATTCTTACACAGCAGATTTGCCCAAAGCATTAAATTGTTTGATTTCTTAACTTCTGCATCCTTGGACATTGATTGTGGGCTCAAGCAAAATGAAATCCTTGACAATCTCAAATTTTCTCCATTTATTATGTTTATTGGTCCAGTTGTGAGGGTTTTTGTTTTCGATATGTTGAGGTAGAATCCATAATGAAGACTGGAGTCTTTGATCTTCATATGTAAGTGCTTCAAGCCCTCTTCGCATTCAGCAAGCAAGGTTGTGTCATCTGCATATCACAGGTTGTTCATGAATCTTCCTTTAATATTGAGGCCATGTTCTTCATCATACATTCTAGCTTCTGGGATTACCTGCTCAGCATATAGATTGAATAAAACACCTTTCCTGATTTTGAGCCATGCTTGCTCTGTTTGAACGATCCCGTCTTGGTCTATATACAGGTTCCATAAGAGCACAATTAAGTGCTGTGGAATTCCCATTCTTAGTAATGTTATCTGTAACTTGTCATGACCTACACAGTTGAATGGTAAATATCTTTCTGGTATTCTCTTTTTTTTTTTCAGGCAACATCCATCTGACATCTGAATCCATTGTGGATTCCTGACAGTTCCCTCTCAATGTACTACTGCAACTACTTTTGAATTATTTCTGCAAAACTTTACTTGCATGTGATACCAATGATATTGTTCAATAATTTCTACTTTTTGTTGGATCACCTTTCTTCACAATGGACACAAATATGGATTTCTTCCTGTCAGCTGGTCATTTAGTGGTCTTCTAAATTTCTTGGCATAAACAAATGAGTGCTTCTAGCATTGCATTTTTGAAACATTTCAATTGAGATTCTGCCAATTCCTCCAGGCCTTGTTTTTCGCCAATGCCTTCAGTGGATCTTGGACTTCTTCTGTCAGTACCATTGGTTATTGATCATATGCTATCTCATGAAATGGTTGAGCATTGACCAATTCTTTTTTGTAAAGTGACTCTGTTCATTTCTTTAACCTTCTTTTTATGCTTCCTGCATCATTTAGTATTTTCCTCATGAAATCCTCCAATATTGAAAGTCAAGGCTTGAATTTTTTCTTCAATTCTTTCAGCTTGAGAAATGCCAAGCATGTTCCTCCTTTTGGTTTTCTAACTCTTAGTCCTTGTACATTTCATTATAATATTTTACTGTATCTTCTCAAGCCACCCTTTGAAATCTTCTGTTCAGCTTTTACTTCATCATTTCTTCCACTCACTTTAGCTACTCTATGCTCTAGAGCAATTTTCAGAGCCCCTTCTGACATCCATTTTGGTCTTTTCATTTTTTTTCCCCTGTCTTTTTAATGGCTTTTAGCTTTCTTCATAGGGTCAATATTAGCAGGGGTATAGGGAGAGGAATGAGAGCCTGGGAAAATCTCTGAGTTGTACCTCCCTTCACCAATCTGAGTGTCCAGGGGCCATCTTTAAGTTTTGCCTTTCCCCAATTTCAAGATAAATACACATTGATAGCAGCAATGTGTCATCAGGAACATCTTACCCGCTCTTGTTTGGCTGCCTCAATCAGACACCTTTCATATTTATGGCATCAAAGAATGCCACTCAGTGACTCATCTGGTGCTCCTTTGGACTTGTGCCCTGGGTAAGTGCCTTCCTATGCCTCCCCATTACTATGTCCCTGGATGTCTACCATGTTCAAGGAAGGATTTTGGCCATACCACATTTATAGAAACCACTCAGTAGCACCCACCCTTTCAGGACACATGCACACTTTCAATATGCCTATGCCATCATTAATATCACATGCAAGTAAAATTTTGCTAAAGATAATAAAAAATGATTGCAGCAGTATATTGACAGGGAACTTCCAGAAATGCAAGCTAGATTCAGAAGAGGAGGTGGAATGAGGGATGGTGTCAGATGGATCTTGGCTGAAAGCAAAGAATACCAGAAAGATATTTACTTGTGTTTACTGACTATGCAAAAGCATCCAACTGTGTGGATCATAACAAATTATGAAAAACATTGAGAAGAATGAGAATTCCAGAATACTTAATAGTGCTAATGAGGAACCTGTACATACCAGGAGGCTGTCGTTCAAACATAACAAGGGTATACTACATGGTTTAAAATCAGGAAGGGTGTGTGTCACGGTGAATGAGTATGGTTTTGCCATCCTTATTCAATCTGTATGCTAAGCAAATAATCCAAAAAGCAAGACTATATGAAGAAGAACATAGCATCAGGATTGGAGGAAGACTCACTAACCACCTGCAATATGCAAATGGTACAACCTTGCTTGCTGAAAGTGAAGGTGACTTGAAGCACTTTCTGATAAAGATTAAAGACTATAGTCTGCAGTATGGGTTACACCTCAACGTAAAAAGAACAAAAATCCTCACAACTGGACCAACTGGACCCATAAGCAGTATCAAGGTAAATGGAGAAAAGATTGAAGTTGTCAAAGATTTCATATTATTTGGCTCTACAATCAACATCAATGGAAGCAGCAGTCAAGAAATCAGACATTGTATTGCACTGGGCAAATCTGCTGCAAAACCTCTTTCAAGTGCTAAAGAGCCAAGATATATATTTGAAGACTAAGGTGGCACCTAAGTCAATGGTCTCATTTGCATGTGAAAGCTGGACAATGAATAAGGAAGTGGTGGCATAGTTCCTAAGGTATTTGACTGCCAACCAGAAGGCAGGTGGTTCAAATCCAGGAGCCACTCCTTGAAGGAAGATTGGGCAATCTACTTCTATAGAGATTCTGCCTCAGAAACCCAAGGAGGGGTCGCTATGAATCAAATCGACTGGAAGGCAGTGACTTTGGTTTGGTTTTTGGTTTACCTGTGAAAGTAGGAACGAAGGTGGGGCTAAGAACAGGACGACTGTTTCACATTCTGTTTAAGAAGCAATCAGCCTACCTATCTCACTATACCTGAAAAACTGCCCTCTGATATTTTCCAAGACTGGAGGCTTAGATAAAAGAATAAAATGAGAGTCTATGGAGTAGAAGACAACAGCTATAGTTGAAAGCAGAGGCATTTTTCCAAAGAGGCTGCCATGGGTATTAATAGGAGCTCTAGTAGCATAGTGCCTAAGGCATTTGACTGCTAACCAGAAGGCTGATGGTTCAAACCCACCAGTCACTCCTCAGAAGGAAGATTGGGAAATCTACTTCTGTAGTGATACCACCTCAGAAACCCAAGGAGGGATAGCTATGAGTCAGATCCGACTCGATGCCAGTGAGTTTTTTTTTTTTTTCTTTTAAAGAAGAATTGATGCTTTTGAGTTGTGGTGTTGGTGAAGAACACTATAAATACAATGGACTGCCAAAAGAATGAAAAATCTGTCCTGCAAGAAGTGCAGCCAGAATGCTCCTTGGGAAAACAGCCAGACTTTGTCTGACCTACTTTGGTCATGTTGTTAGAAAGGACCATTCCCTGGAGAAAGATATCCTACTTGGCAAAGTGGAGGGTCAGTAAAAAGGGGGAAGACCCTCAATGAGATGGATTTACACAGTGGCTACAACGATGGGCTCAAGCATAGCAAGGGTTTTGAGGATGGCACACTACTAGGTAGTGAAATTTTTGTTTCTGTTGTACATAGGGTCACTATGAGTCAGAGCTGACTCAATGGCACATAACAACAATGGCTATGAGTCAGAATTAATATGATGGCTATGGGTTTGCTTTGGTAATGAATTACCTTACCTAAAATAAATTAGCCTTTTGTCCTTGGTTTTTGAGAGAATTCTTGGAACTTCCAAGGTAATCAACCCACCTTTGTGTTCTGAAAACCATCAGACTTCACTTGAGAATTTGTGCAAATGAATGAGGGTTTGGCTAGGTTATAAAGATTGTCAATCTGCTGACTTCAGGAAGGTAGTGGGGAAGATTTAATCAATCATATATATTCAATGAGACCTCAGTCAATGACTATACAATGAGTTCTCTGTCATAACTATGTAAGGAAGCCAATAAAAATTTCTGAACATGGAAGTTCCCTGAGCTTCCTGGTTGGTGTAAGAATATCCATATCTGAGATCCCTGTCAGATTTCCTATGTGTTTCTTCATTTTTATCCTTCTTGGTTATAAAAAATTGGCCAATATTCTCCATGAATTTTGTGAGTCATTCCAGCCAATACTTGAGCCCAAAGGAATCAGTAGATCAGAAGGTTGAGTTGTAGGATGGAATCCCCCAGCCTATGGCTAGTATCTGTCTTTTTGGTAATTTGAAGAACTGTCTTCTTCCATCTTGTGAGCTCTGACCCAGATCTGAGTAGCTGGGGTCAGAGAAGCACTACATGGGCAGTGAAACTATAGGACAATGTCCTTTTAACCTGTGAGCTCTGATCCACTTCTGGTTGGCTTGGGTTGGAGAGAGAATGCCAACTTGGATGGCTTGCAATGAGGATGGAGAAGTGAAAAGTTGAGGACTGCATCCTTATCTGCATTTTGGGGACTGAGTTGATGCCACACAGTTGTCAAGATGGGATTTGCTCACTCTTTTCTCAGAGCAATGACCAGGCTTGGAAATATTGTCTTAAAAGATGTTATCAGGTAATTAACATGAAGCCAGAGTAGAGTAGGGTGGGTCTTAATTCAATCTGAGTAGTGTCCTTATAAAAGAGGAGATGTGACACAGACAGCACTCATAGGAAAGATGGTCATAGGAAGATATATCTACTAGTCAAGGAAAGAATGCCTGGGGCTGCCAGAAGCTGAGAGAGATAAGCAAGTACTTTTTTTATGGAGACTTTGGAGAGAGCATGGCACTTCCAACAACAAAAATTTGAACTACTAGCCTCCAGAACGATGAGACAATAAATTTCTGTTCTTATACACTACCAAGTTTGTGGTACTTTGTTATGGCAGACCTTGGAAACTAATAAAGAGGGCGACTAAATGAGTTAGTATGGGTGTATTGGTTTGGGTTCACTTAAGAGTAGTGTCTGAGTCAAAGATTCAGGGGCAAGAAGGTTATTTGGGAAGTGATTCCCAGATGCTTGAGTGGGAGAGAGGGAAAGTGAGACATGTTGCTGTTGTTACATGCCATCGAGTTGGTTCTAACTCATAGCAACCCTATGTACAACAGAACGAAACAGTGCCTGGTCGTGCACCATCCTCAAAATCCTTGCTATAAAAGAAAGCTAATAAAAAGCTTTATTGGTTTGGTTTCCTCTGTTAAATAATAGGAGATTCTGTGTGGTATAAACGGTTAATGCATTTGGCTGCTAACTGAAAGGTCGAAGGTTTGAGTCTACCCAAAGGTGCCTCAGAAGAAAGACCTGGTGATCTACTTTCAAAAAATCAGTGTCTGGAATCTTAAAAGCTTGCAAGCAGCCATCTAAATGCAATGATGGGTTGGCCTCTCCTCGTCCAGAGCAAAGAAGAATGAAGAAAACCAAAGATGCATGAAAACAATTAGTCTAAAGGACTGGTACACCATGTGATCCTCAGCCTATATGACTATGAGACCAGAAGAATTAGATGGTGCCTCATTACCACTGTCAACCACTAGGAGGGGGATCTATGTAGGAGATCCTGGATGGAGTGGGAGAAAAATGTTGAAAAAAAATCAAAATTATAAAGAAAAAAATGGACCAGGTTTGCTGGTCTGATAGAGCCTGGTGGAACATCTGAGACTATGGCCCCTTCAAGTCTGGAATTGAACCTACTCCTATGGCTTCCAGACAAACAAAAGACAGGCATATGAGGTGAACATTTGTATTAGGTAGATACACTCTTTGGAGAGATCAATCATGGGAGAATAAAAGGGCTGTGCATGCACAGGGAGACAGCTCAGGGGGCAGGAGTGCTTGGGAGGGAAGGACACAGGGAAGAGGTAACTATGGGGAAGAAATGGGAAGAGAGCTGTTGCATCATAGGAAATTTCAGTCAATGTCATGAGACAAAGTGTATGTGAACTGCTGTATAGAAAATGAATTCACTCTATAAACTTTTACCCAAATCATAACAAAAATTAAAATAATAATAATAATAATCAGCCATCTGGAGGAGCATAGTTCTATTGTGACACAAAAGGGGTGACCATGAGTCAAATTTGACTTGATGACAACTGGCATAGGATGGTCACTAGTTTCATTAATGACTAAAGATATTCAAATATTGTTGTCAGCATGTGACATAAACAAACAGCATTAAAAACCAGTCGCTGTCAAGTTGATTCAGTCTCATGGTGACCCCATGTATGTCCGAGTAGAACTGTATTCCTTAGGGGTTTCAATGGCTGATTTTTTTTTGGAAGAAAGTTGCCAGCCCTTTCTTCTGAGGTGCTTCTGGGTGGTCTTGGATCTCTAACCTTTTGGTTAGCCACTGAGCACATCAACCATATGCACCTCCCAGGGACTCCAACAAACATCACTAAACGTGTCATTTACCTTGGACCAGGTTATAGATGGTTTGGGAATTCCACTTGCTTTACATGGTAAAGTTACTGGAACACCTTCAATTGTACTGAGTATCTGCTGCCCATGCTGAATGGTTGGCAGAACTAGAAAAGCAGCAGAATTCAGAATGTGAGCATCTGTTATTTCACTTAGCCTCATATGTTTAAAGTTGAGCATTTTTAGCATATGCTTAATATTTGTGAAAACTAATAAAAATGAAACTTTTTTGATAGAAAATTAAGGTAATTAGTTAGGGAGTGTGCTAAGCAAACAAAAAAATATAATAGTTATGATCTCAAGAGTTTTGTAGAAACTTAAAACAAGCAGTAAATGATGTCTAACATATCGACCTTCCTAATGAAAAGAGAGGGTTAAAGAGATTTCATTTTTCCTAGAAAAATAAAAGAGAATTATAGCCTGAGGGTTATACAATTAACACATATCTTTGTCCAGGATCCATCATTACCCATAAAAATACAGTGAGCTGCCTTAAGTTTACCTACAAAGAAATCAGCTATTTAACCATCATATACGAAATACCTATTGACACAAAAGAATCACTTATAAAACCACGAAATTTAGCCTAGAAAAGAGGATTTATATTCTTAAAAGGAATTTAACAGTAAAGCTTGAAAAATCTTTGGGATTTTTGTTTAAAAGACAAAATATGGAATTTTATGTCAATATTTTTCAGAAAGAAGTAAAACATACCTTTTGACTTTAGAAAGCAACTGAAGTATTAAATTATATGAGTATAAACAAATGGAAAAAGGAAGACTGTTGGCCACTCCATTCTGAAAAAAGTATTAATATTCAATGTTTTTGAAATAATGATTTTGATTAAAGGAGCTCCTATACATGAACATTCCTAACACAGTGCAAAGAACATAGTAAAAACCCAACAAACACCAGCCCATTTGCTTTCCATCCTCTGAAAGAAGAGACTGTAACTGCTTCTTGGAGATTCATCACTCACTGTCTTTTGCCTTGAAATTAGATTTCTCCAGTTGTCATAGCTTCCCTGGAGCAGAAGTTTGCCAAAATAAGAAATATCAGAGACCTCAGTAAAGAAACTTTGTGGAAGGTTTAGATTAAGTTTGCTATATACTCATATTTTCCTATGACTGGCCTTAATCTTTAGATAATTTCTTCTTTAAGAGTTGGCAGCAAATTTCTATCCCTAAATAAGAATGCCAGGCTACAATTTAGAGAAAGATATTTAATTTCTAGAATCATTATAAAATAGTCAGCTTTCAACTATCAATTTGTGGCAACATGGAATCAGCCATTTTCATAAATGTATAATGAGTTTGACATGATAAAGGAAATGGGAAATTTAGTCTATGGTTTTGAAGTCTGATGTCATTTAGGCATGAGAAAACAGTTTCTTATAAGATTGTCAATCTACAAAAATCAATATCAAAATTAAACTGTTTTATTTGTCTTTTTAATCTGAACTTGTATCTGCCTTCCGTCATTGATTTCAGAATGGGTTAGAGTCTTTAATGAGCATTCTTGAAATGGAAGAGGCAGAGTGGTGACAGGATGGCAATGCTACTTAATATAAATGCCGAAGTCTAAAGAAAGGGATGTTGCATCACACCCAAGTCAGAGATAAATTTGTTGGCTGTAAGGTTGTTTGTTTAGTTCATGACAAATAGCTAGGTTGATATTTTTCAATCTATTGACTAAACCAGCTAGTCGTTTTGGACTAAGCTGAATTACCAAAGGTTGTGGAGAGAAGACTTTGTTACTTTCCATTGTAAAGACTTCTGGGATAATGGTACACCACATCATGAAAGCATAAATGACTTAGTTTGTCTTATCTGGCAGACAGCACAAGTAATCATGATACCTTTCACCCACATACAAATTTGGGCTCAGAGTCCTTGACACAGTATTCCAGGCAGGTGCTGTAAACGATATATATTCCAGGAAGGTATATGTCGGGGGGGGGAAAGTAGGGGTATGACTGAACTAGATTCTCAAACCAATCAGGAAAACTACAGACTGATTCTCCTTAAAAATATTTCAACATAACAGTATCCAGATCTGGCATTAGATATTTTCTCTGTTAAGTTACAGCTAATTTGCTGTTGGTTTGGTATTTTTTCAAAATAATATTTCTTCAAGAATACCTCATGTGATGTTGGTGAATACTTGGTACTAGATTGAAAGCTATGGATGAAAGAAGTTGTTTCAAAAGAGAAGCAGATATGAAAAAGGAAGATGATCTTAATCCTTTAAATTTTCAACAGACCAAACAAAATTTGGAAACTACTGGATTAAGTAATTCTCTTATTCATGTGCCAAATAAAGGTTGAATTAATTACTAAAAATAAATGTTCCATGCTACTTTCTTCTCTAAGAATGTTCAGTACTGTACACAAAGTTATTTTTCAATACTATGCTTTTTCAAAAAAGGAATGTTGCAAATTTCTTGAGGGAACTATACAAAAAATGTTATGATAATTTCTTAAACTATGAAACTGTTATTTATTTTCTGCGATGTATGAACTTCGTAACTGTGTAGTCACGAATGGAAAAAGATTGCTTCTGGGTTTTCTTATTTGTGACCTTTACTTAACATGCAAGAAGATTGTTGGGTGCATATGAAGTGACCTTTAGAAATGCTTGGGTCATTTCTAGCTAAACACAAAGGGGTCATTAGTAAGGGCATGTTTCTTGCACAAGCCAAAAGGAAAAGGCAATTTTGGATGGTCTATTAAGTTCAATTTGCCTGAAATTAAAATGTATTTTTAAACATAATTGTCTGAGAGCTGAGTTCCTTTTTATCAATTAAGAAACCGCTGACAAAAGCCCTTGGCCAGACTCAGCTGGTGCCTCCCAATGATGTCTTTCTGTGTACATAAAAATGGGAAATCTGGAAACAGCATTAACAATGTAAATATTGTTCAAGAAATAAAGCTTTTGGCAAGAATAACAATTAGGAGCCTTATTTCAGCAATAGAGTTATCTGATTTAAATGTATTAACTCAGACTTGAACACAGTTTGGAAACAATTCAATGGGCAAATGTCCTACCATGCACCTCCACGGTGGTGGTTTTATTATTGATTCCAGCAACGTTACTGGCCACACAGGTATATTCGCCTCCATCCTGAAGACGAACTCTTTCAATATGGAGGCTCCCATCACTGCGCACGGTGATGTAAGGATTTTGGACCAACTTACAGAAAAAAAAAAAATATATATATATTTTTTAATTGTATAAAAAAAAATTCCTGTGCCAAAACTGGATCTATTTCTTCCCCACCCCACCCCCAAGCTAGGTAAATTCCTTTTAAAATAAAATATTTTAACATTTCAGTGAAAAAATGATGAACATATTACCAAAAGTGGTATCAGTTGTATTACATTCTGATATACCTCAAAATATTGTATCTACTAGAGAATTATGTACATGCTGGAAAAGGAAAAGAAACAAAGATACTACTTGTTTCATGTTTCTGTATTTTTTGTTAGCACTCAAGATCCAAATCCCACTTTTGGCTTATATTGTTTTTCTCCAAGAACTTACTGTCACTAAGAAGCAATTTTATATTTATATTTTGGCATATAGGCGTCTTTTAAGCTGAATGAGAAGGACAATCTCAACACTCACTTTGTCATGTCACACATGCAAACAGCAAAGGATAGTGTCATCCATATGTTGTTGTTGTTATGTGCCATCAAGTTGGACCTGACTCCTAGTGACCCCTCCTTGGGTTTCCGAGGCAGTTATCACTACGGAAGTAGATTGCCCCATCTTCCTTCTGAGGAGTGGCTGGTGGGTTTGAACTGCCAGCCTTCTGGTTAGCAGTCAAGTGCCTTAGGCACTATGCTACCAGAGCTCCCTAGTGTCATCCATATAAGACATACATACAGAACCTGTCACAGGAGACTGGCAATATTTCCACTTAAGATCAATCACCTCTAAATCTTGCCATTTATGTATACTGTTCAATAATCAGATATCACAGTGCAAGAATCAGATATCTCAATGTTCAAGCAGTATCAAATCACAAGCTTATTTATTATTCAATCAGATGTATTGATTTTTCTCAGGTTTTTATTTAAATATGAACAATTCTACACTTGTAGAATAAAACAATTCTTCCATATAATTGATTCACTACTAATAGGTACTCTAAGAGCAAGAGAATCTAAATATTTCTGGAAAACAGAAAAAGTACTCTGAACAAGATGAAAATTTATTGGCAGAGGTAGCATATTTACAGGAAACTTTAACAGAATTGTGAAAAATTTTTACATCTTTTCATTGTCAAAAGTTATACACTGAAAAACTATGACACAATTTAAATCCACATTTTTAAATAGTTCATGATAAAATATATAACTTTGTGGTTAATATTAATAAATTCCAATATATAAAATGAAAGATGTTATGGTAATATTGACATTTCATAATGTTCTAGAAGGAAGCACATAAAAATATTGATGTGGTAAGAAAATAAGTTCATACCTACTTCTGATTTTGCATATTCTAAACTGAGCTTATTAGTAACACTGCATTTCATGTGAAATTGTGGAAATTATACTATCAACTATTTCTCCATTTTATTAACTCTCAAATAATATGAACTCCATAAACATGTTAATACTGAAGAAAATTTCAGTATACTTATAAAAATGTATTTTGTAATTTATTCAATATGCTTTGTTATTTTAATGGTTGGAACACATTGGTTCTTCCTCAAGAAAACTAGGAGAGTGCATGTATTTAATATGTTCTTACCATGGCTGAGTTCTTAATCCATCGCCTTTCTGGAATGGGATTTCCAGCCAATAAGGTACAGGGCAAAGTAAGTTGCTGTCCTTCAATTACATTGGCCACAGAAGGGCTGATCCCAATAAGAGGAGCAACTAAATCAGAGAAAACACAGGTACTTTCAACTCTATTTCATCCAAAAGGAAGGTAAACATTTATAAGTAGCTGTCAAGATAGGTACTTATAATGCTATTAAAATTTGAGCTTTCAGGAAAAAAATTTTTTACAAATGTTAACGGATATGAAAGCAGCTCTGGTGGTGTAGTGTCTAAGGTCTTTGACTGCTAACCAGAAGGCTGGTGGTTCAAACCCACCAGCCACTCCTTGGAAGGAAGATTGGGCAATCTACTTTGGTAGTAATAACACCTCGGAAACCCAAGGAGAGGGGACTGCTAACCAGAAGGCTGGTGGTTCAAACCCACCAGCCACTCCTTGGAAGGAAGATTGGGCAATCTACTTTGGTAGTAATAACACCTCAGAAACCCAAGGAGAGGTTGCTATGAGTCAAAATTGACTCGATGGCAAATTACAACAACAACAGATATGAACTTGAAGGGAAAGATAAAGGGCATCTGCGCTCAAAGAAAATTCCCAGACAAATAATAGTGGAGAAGTAAAGAGAGCAGGGCACAATAAGTCTGCAGCTAGAGCATGATAACAGAAGGCTAGAAATATTAAGCCAAGAAACTTATGATGCAGTCAGTAGACAAATGGTGAATAACTAAAAGCATTTATACAGAAAACTGGCATCATTCAGAACCATTCTTTTGAAATATTAATGTAAAAATTTAATCAGAGGTATTAATCTGGAAGGGGTGAGATCACTGAGGAAGCTGCTGTAACAGCTCAAGTAAATAAAATGATATGAATTCTTTTATATGGAATGGCAAAGAAGTATTATTGTAAATATGCCCTCTTCTTGAAATCAAAGACCAAGTTTAACTTAAATCAAAGTAAAATCCCTAGGAGATTTTAGCTGGAAAAAAAATAGTTTATATAGATGAATAAAGGAAGACAGGGAGATACATGAAGAAAATTTTGCTTAAGTTGTAAATTAATGAGAAATTCACTCTGCTAGGTTTAAAAATCACATTAAATGCTATAATGTAAACAAAGTAGTACTAATGCAGAAATAGAATAGAATGCCAAGGAATAGATAAAAGAATATAAGAATATAAACTTATCATGTAAGCAAATGGATATTTTAATAAGTGGGAACAGACAGATTATTCAATAAAGGAATAAACAAAAATCTCAGCACTTGGGAATAAAAGACACTATATCCTTTCCTCCTTCCAAAAAAAAAAAAAAACAGTTTCATGTGGACAAAATGATAAATGTAGAAAAGACAACTAGATAGGACTTCCACCACTCTAAATATATATTCATATTTAAACTTATAAATCAGTTTATTTAAATTGACCTTCCTTTCATCAAAAGGAAAATGAGAAGTTTGGAGCAGATTCTCTCTAAGGTCATTCCAGATCTAACATTCTGTGAAATATGAAATGGGAGGAGGAGGGCAGACTAGTCTAGTGATCAGGTATTTACTTAGTTGTTTTTTTTTCCCCCTTAAAGTCGCACAATTGTTAAGAGATAATGTAGTAAATAAAAATCTGATGATTCTGGAAATTGTGGTCTCTAAACACTTAATTGATCTTACCAAGTCCTGTCACTGTTATTATTGCCTGGGATTGGATCTTTCCAAACTGATTTTCTGCTTCACAAACATAGGTTCCTTTATCACTTGCCCATAAATCTAAAAAAAAAAAAGAGATGACTTATTTATTGAGCACCATCTATGAAGTATTAAGTATGTGTCAGTCACAGAGATGAGATCTGAAAATTTAAACTACAGTCCTGCCTCCAGGGGTTTCCATTCTATGGGAAGATACAGACACAGAAAGCAACGATTAACACCACAATGTGATAAATGTCCTAATACATCCTGGGTTTCGAAAAACAATCTGTGGAAGCACTGAGACAGGAGCATGTAGCTGCAAATGCAAAAGCATAACTTGAAAAGCCATGGTCTGTCTGTTCAAAATTGAAAACTGTACCACCAACAGACATTGAACTATGTGTGTACATGTGTGGGGAGACATTTTGGAAGTTTGATGCAGATATTTTTTCATCACTGCAATGATTCTATTGACATTTAGTGAGCAAAAGTTAGGGAGATAATGCACAGGACAGGTTCATGAAAAATACAACCCAACTCCAGCAAGACTTTTAAAGATCCCACTGGAAATTCAGGGATTTGGTCATTCTGTTTATAATTATTTGAGCCTAGAGTCTAATTCTGTATAAGAAAGACAGAACTTTAGTTGTGTTTACTGATCATTTTAGAAAATCACATCATCAGCCTGGAGTTTTCAGTTATCAGTCCCATACTCCTGTATCAGTCTGCATTTGAGCTGTTGAATTTATGGTTATGCTACATATGGTGTAGACATTGCCAGAGTATTTGTTCATTGAGTAATATATTATTTTACCAGAAATCACTTTTGTTTATTTCCTTTTGTACTACATTTGGGGCTTGGTGGCACTGAAAGGTTGGCGGTTTGAACTCACCCAGCAGCTCTGTGGGAGAAAGACCTGGCTATCTGCTCCTGTAAACATTTCATCATAGGAAACACCATGGGGCAGTATTACTTTATCAAATAGAGTCATTGTGTATCAGAATCCACTCGATGGCACACAAAAAATAACAAGAGAGATCATTTATATGCATACATACAGGCATACTTCATTTTATTGCACTACACTTTATTACTTCAGAGATATTGCATCTTTGTTTTTTTTTTTTTTTTAACAAATTGAAGGTTTGTGGCAACCCTGCCTCAAACAAAATTATCGGCACCATTTTTTGCAACAGCATGCGGTAATTCTCACAATATTTCAAACTTTTTCATAATGTTATTATTGCACACTTCATAGTATAGTATAAAGATAACTTTTATATGCAACGGTTTTTTATGAAACCAAAATGTGACTCGCTTTACGGCATTATTTGCTTTATTGTGGTAGTCTGGAACCAAATCCCATTTATCTTCATGGTATGCTTGTATATATGCTTGTATATATATATATATTATATATATGTGTGTGTGTATACATATATATATATATATATATACCTATATAACTATATTCATATATGTATATGAATTTGAGAATAATAAAAAAGATATTATAAAATATTTGTTATAAAAAGAAGGTGTTGGGGGCAACTGGGATGAGGACTGCTGGGTTAGAAGTTGTATGAGTGTAGTCAAGAGGCTGAAACTGAAGAAGCAGGTTGGTTCCCTGTAAGAAAGGTAGTTTTGTCTTGTGAGCAAAAGAAAAGGCAAGAGAAGATTTTAAATAGGGGAATGATTGTGATTTTTGCAAATATCTTAAGCAGAATAAATAGCTTAATCTACTGATAAGATATTGACAAAGAAAAAAGGACTTTCTATCATATGTAGTTCTAAACTACCTTAAATAAAAGCAGTGATAAAATTTGTATTTCTCTTAACCATACGCATATAACTGCAGAACTACATTTGGTAAACTTAGGTGATATCCATTCTAAACAAAGGCAAACATTCATTTGGAGGAGAAAATTCAACAGATCACCTGGTTAATAAGTTCTACATTGCTTCTAACCAAGGTATTTTGAATATTATCAAGTCTTAGGCTGCTTTGTGTAGAAATACAAAGTACTACAGAGAATTAAGTTTCTAATCACTAGTTTATTCTGTTGTTGTTGTTGTTATGTGCCGTCGAGTCGGCCCCGACTCATAGTGACCCCTCCTTGGGTTTCCGAGGCAGTATCACTACGGAAGTAGGATTGCCCAACCTTCCTTCCGAGGTGTGGCTGGTGGGTTTGAACTGCCAGCCGTCTGGTTAGCAGGCAAGTGACTTAGCCACTATGCTACCAGAGCTGTTTATTCTAGACAATTTAATTTAAACATTCAAGGAATACACTGGCACTGGCCTCTCCTATTATTCCTCCTTTTCTTTCATCTTCTCTACTATATTTATTTTTGGGTCTCACTTTTGCTCCCTCTGGGTTGTTTCTCATCACCAGCATTACCCTAGTGGATAATTATGTGAGCCTCCCGATTTCCCCCTTTCTCTCACCTCTCCTATCTTGCAGAGGAATCATTCTCAAACAGTGCATTCATGTGCTATTTTCCTGCTCACGAAGCTCAGTAACTCTCTATTTCTATCTCATCAAGGACATTTCTTTACCTTGATATTTCAGGTCCTGCCCAATCTAACTCAATCTGATGACTACTTCTTAGTAGGTTCCTTTTGTGGCCATTTACTCAGATTGTGGATTGCTAAATACTTGAGTAAGGGACCCCACAGTTGACTTGTATCTTTACCACAGAGTCTAGCACAGAGCAGAACACTCAAGCACTTGTAAGCAGATGATTTAATTTTAATCTGGCATTTAAGCAATTAATGTATATTTAGTATTATTAATAAGCATGGAAATCACTAGTTGGAGGCTTCTTATAAAACACTCCAAATTCAATTACATTTTAAAAACAATTAACCATCTAAATGTTTTTTCTTCACTAGTGCCACCATCCAAATATTCTTAACCTTATTTGAAAAAATACAAAGTGGGTTCAGATATGTAATTGTTTACCAGTTTATAGGTGAAATTTTTAAGTGACTTAATATTTGACTTATTATTAGAATCTCTTGGATGCAACTTTAATCAAGGGACTGCCATAGGATTCCTATGCATGTCATTATGTATTGCTGGCCACAAATAATTAAAGTTAACTAATTACCACTAATACTTTTCTTTACAATAGTTGATACGAGAGTCAATAAAATGCAAGTACTAATCCACCAAGAGGCCCAGATACCTCTGTTTGGAAAGAAACAAGAAGATATGAAGAAATATTGTGTTAAAAGCATTGATACAAACTAATGGCATACAATTGAATAAAAATAATCCATTTATGGCAAATCTAAAATATAAAATTTTAGTACTATTTTAAAGTGAAATGTAACAAACACAAATACATTGGCAAGATTAACTCACTATTTTAAATATGCATGAAATGTCATGGATGTATAATATACTTGTACTCATTTGTACAAAATACATTTCCTTTAACCTACTTGAAATAAAGAGGGCTCCTGTTCTTAGTTGGCTGATGGAGCTAACTGAAAAGGGTCTTGAGAAAAGTGGCATGTTATCCAATCTTTGCCACTTGATCCTTGGTTCTGGATAACCCTGAACATAGCAAGGTAATGTCACATTTGAGCCAATGTCCATAGATATATCGACAGGTTCTTGTATGAAAACTGGAGGTGCTGGAAGATAATTTAAAAAAAAAAAGCAGATCATTAATACAGTACACAGCCACATTAAATATAAACTTAATTATTAAACAATCAACATATTGAATTTGAACCATATCATTGTTCATGTAATAATAAAAATTTATACTTTCATTTTCTCTCTGATTCAGAAATAGCAGATTGCTTTTTTTGCCATATAAATGAATACCAAAACCAAAACCAAACTCACTGCCGTCAATTTGGATCTGACTCATAGCTACCCCTCCTTGGGTTTCTACTTCTACTATGGAAGTAGATTGCCCAACCTTCCTTCTGAGGAGTGGCTGATGGGTTTGAACCGCCAGCCTTCTGGTTAGCAGTCAAATGAATAAGAGGCACAAAAGGTAAAACTATCTCCTGAAAGTGATAGATGATAAAAAAGGGTGAGAATTTAAATCAAGAGTATGTTAAATAAAAAGGATCATTTGTTTTAGAAATTTGTTTTCAATTTTAGTTTATATCATACTGCTCAAGGCTTAAGACTTTATGATAGATAAAATGGTCGTGTAAGGAAGTATTTTTGATGCTTTTCTAAACTTATTTTCTTTAATTGAATTTTTTAAATAAATTTCATATTAGAGTTTATATTCAATGGATCATTATTTAACAAGTTTACAGTATGTAACCCTAAGTTATTTATCTGTATTCAAGATTGTGAGTCAAGAATATGAAGTAACAGAATGTTGTATGCATTAAAGGGAGAATAATCAGTGTTTAATATCTTAGAAAGTTAAGAAAGGATTCAGAAATTACAAAACTATAGCTAAGAAGACTATGGATAGCCATTTAAGTCAGCTTATCACAGAAGCCAGAAGAGTTACAAACCTTGGATTACACGGGAATATAATAATATGGAGGGTGCTGTTAGCAGGGCCAAATAAGTGAGACTATCAATATGCCCCAGAGAATTTGCTAACAAGGATGTTTGGGGCAACTTGCAAGGGAAACATATTATCTGAAGTAATGAATAAAACCTGCTCATTTAATCTTCACAATATCCCTGTGAGGTAGGTACTACATTGTCCCAGTTTTACAGATGGAGAAACTGAGAGGCAGGTAGCTAACTTGCTAAATGTCACATGGACTTGAGCACTGAAGCTAGAATTCAAACCAGGTCAATCTGACCCTAGAGCTACAATTTTTTGTCATTTTATCAACTTCCCCTTCTTCTAGAGGTTCTTAAAACTGCCCACTGTTACGCTGTTTTAAAGGCTAATGAAAATGAATGTGAAGGTGAAAGGTGACCTCTTTCCTTTTCATGGAATATTGGGCCCATAGTGTATAATTATCTCAGAAGCAGTGTCGGTGCTTTTCTTTTTTTTTTTTCAGCTTGGATTCAAGGACTTCCTCTAACTTTGCAACCTCATCTCCCACTATTTGCCTGCACAACTTCTAACCTCTGACCAATTAGAACTCCTTACTCTTCTGCCAACAATTGACCTTTCCCATAGAGTTACCTGTGTTATTTCATCCCTGTCAAATGCAAAGTCTAGATATCTACTGAAATATTAAAAATTCTTCAGTCCAGTGCATATGTCCCCTCCTTTGTGATGCCCTCTCTTACCATCCCAGTTGGACACAATTTTGTCCCTCTGAATTTTCAGAGAACTCATTCTGTACCATTTACATGGTAACTGTCACAGTCAGCCTTTTATTACACTATGTCTTATTTTTCCTACTAAATTGTAAATTTCTAAACCATTTACATTTAAAGTATATATTTATCCCTAATGGCAACTAACAGAATACATTGCACATTAGAAGTGGTCACTAGATATTTGTGAAGGAATTATTGGTTCGGTATTAGAACATGTCAACAATAATTCAGTGTGTGTGTGTGTGTGTGTGTGTATGTAATGAGAATCTTGGCCCAGTACATTTGATCTTGCACTTCTGGAGGAAACACAGTGACTTCAGAAGCTATTGTTTGTTTATTGAGTCTAAACAAACAAAAATCAAATACCACAATTAGGCAACATGTTTTTTAAAAAGAATTGGTGTATGTGTTTATATTTCTCTCAACCCACCCACATGGGTATTTGATTTACAAAAATAACAGACAAAATGAACATATTTTAAAAATAGTTTATAAAGAAACCTATTGCTTGCATATTCTACATTTATAATACCTAATTACTTTTCTTAGAAGTGGTTAACAGTCATTTATTCTCAAGTAGACAACTTTTCTGAAGAATGGACGTTAAGTATAAATGTCTCAGAATGAGTTTCAGGATATGTCAGGCTCAGACTATGGGTGAGTGAAATGTGGTGATGGGACAGAAATAAATTCCAGAATATACAGAAGCCTGGGATCATGCAAGTATTGGAGGGGGGGCAGGTACTGACAATTAGGTCATAAACATCAGTGAAAATACGACAGATTAGGATTTTTTGAACTAAGAAAGGCAAGAATAAATGTATTAAAAAGGATAAGCAAAGCTCAAGTTATGCCCAGAAAGCTCAGGTAACATAGGAGAAGTCATCCAAGGGGAAGACGTTTTGGAAACAGTATTAGGCACAAGAACAACACAAGAAATATGTGAAAAGCCACCAATCAGGAGATATACATATCAGTACCAGAAAACAAGGCAAATGAGAGTACCAGGCACGTACTAGGTAAGCAGCCAAAACAGCACAAAGAGGACTTCGATGACAAGTAAACCTCAAAAATGAAGCAATTCATAACTCAGGCCAAGAAGTCTTTTAAATACTTCCTACTCCAGAGTGTGGCCAATTTGGACTCCAAGTGAATTACATTGGGTAGATGGTAAACAGATTAATGAGTATAGCATACGGGGAAGCAGCCAGTAAGCGTAGTATAACTAACATCCAGTACTGGTAGAGGAGGCTGCGTTGCTTAGAGAGGCTGAGAGCCCATTGAGTGGTTCTAAATGGCACCAATTATCAGTCTATAAACTTGGGCAAATTATCTTACCTCTCCCGATCTGAATTTCCCCATGAATGAGAAAAGGATAACATTTTGTTATCTCACATAGTTAAAAGAGATAATCTTTATAAATTGTATAGTACATAGTAAGTTTTGGTAGCATAGTGCCTAAGGCATTTGACTGCTAACCAGAAGGCTGGTGGTTCAAAC